TTTTTGCTGATGTGATCTCCAAGCATATACAAACAATTTTGACGGTTTGGATCGTTGAAATTAGTTTTGAAGAATTCGTAAAACGATAGATTGACTAACACTTAGAGTTTATTTATACTTTTATTAAGTATAACATAAGATTTTGTGGTATCCACTTGTGTAAATATTTTAAATTGAAGATCGAATTCATTCATTATATTCATATAGGGTCAAGGAGTGTAGTTATAAAAAATCATCAAAATCGGAGTTAAAATAACCGTTAAATCGTGATTTTTCGTTTATAACCGTTGAAAATCTTTGTCCCGTTACTTGATCTTTGAATGTTTTTCTTTTGTGATTTTTTGCTGATGTGATCTCCAAGCATATACAAACAATTTTGACGGTTGGATCGTTGAAATTAGTTTTGGAGAATTCGTAAAACGATAGATTGACTAACACTTAGAGTTTATTTATACTTTTATTAAGTATAACATAAGATTTGTGGTATCCACTTGTGTAAATATTTTAAATTGAAGATCGAATTCATTCATTGTATTCATATAGGGTCAAGGAGTGTAGTTATAAAAAATCATCAAAATCGGAGTTAAAATAACCGTTAAATCTTGATTTTTCGTTTATAACCGTCGAAAAGCTTTGTCCCGTTACTTGATCTCTGAATGTTTTTTTTTTGTGATTTTTTGCTGATGTGATCTCCAAGCATATACAAACAATTTTGACGGTTTTGATCGTTGAAATTAGTTTTGGAGAATTCGTAAAATGATAGATTGACTAACACTTAGAGTTTATTTATACTTTTATTAAGTATAACATAAGATTTTGTGGTATCCACTTGTGTAAATATTTTAAATTGAAGATCGAATTCATTCATTGTATTCATATAGGGTCAAGGAGTGTAGTTATAAAAAATCATCAAAATCGGAGTTAAAATAACCGTTAAATCTTGATTTTTCGTTTATAACCGTCGAAAAGCTTTGTCCCGTTACTTGATCTCTGAATGTTTTTTTTTTGTGATTTTTTGCTGATGTGATCTCCAAGCATATACAAACAATTTTGACGGTTTTGATCGTTGAAATTAGTTTTGGAGAATTCGTAAAATGATAGATTGACTAACACTTAGAGTTTATTTATACTTTTATTAAGTATAACATAAGATTTTGTCGTATCCACTTGTGTAAATATTTTAAATTGAAGATCGAATTCATTCATTGTATTCATATAGGGTCAAGGAGTGTAGTTATAAAAAATCATCAAAATCGGAGTTAAAATAACCGTTAAATCTTGATTTTTCGTTTATAACCGTTGAAAAGCTTTGTCTCGTTACTTGATCTTTGAATGTTTTTTTTTTTGTGATTTTTTGCTGATGTGATCTCCAAGCATATACAAACAATTTTGACGGTTTGGATCGTTGAAATTAGTTTTGGAGAATTCGTAAAACGATAGATTGACTAACACTTAGAGTTTATTTATACTTTTATTAAGTATAACATAAGATTTTGTGGTATCCACTTGTGTAAATATTTTAAATTGAAGATCGAATTCATTCATTGTATTCATATAGGGTCAAGAAGTGTAGTTATAAAAAATTATCAAAATCGGAGTTAAAATAACCGTTAAATCGTGATTTTTCGTTTATAACCGTTGAAAAGCTTTGTCCCGTTACTTGATCTCTGAATGTTTTTTTTTTTGTGATTTTTTGCTGATATGATCTCCAAGCATATACAAACAATTTTGACGGTTTGGATCGTTGAAATTAGTTTTGGAGAATTCGTATGCCATCAATCAAGTTCCGTGTGTGTGTGTGTGTGTATATATATATATTTATTAAGTAGATTTAAATCTATTTATTTTGTACGTATAAATTATAATTGACTGGTACACGGAATAGTACATACATCACGTGTCACGTGTTCATTATAAAAATAGTGAGATATGTCATGACAGTCATGTATGTGATAAAAAGTTAATAACTTAAAAAAAAAAAAATTTTTCTCACCACTTCTATTAATTTTCATTTTTCCCTCTCTTTTTTGTTTCCTTTTCAACTTTTTCTTATTATTTTCACTTTTCCCTCCAACATCTTTCCTTAATTCCCTCACTTTTTTGTTTTATTTTCAACTTTTCTTAACATTTTCATTTTCCCTCCATTTTTTTTTCCAAAAAGGACGGCAAATTGGCAAATGCATGATCATGCATATTAAATTATTAATTCATATGCATTATAATTTTTATAAAATTTAATATATATATATATATATATATAATATAATATAATTAGTATAGATAGACTTAATATTTTGGGGGTATAATTATTATAGTATATATAATTATTATAATTATTATAAATTTTATAGTTAATTTAATATATATATATATTTATTATAATTTTTAGGGGTATAAAATTGTAAAATTAATGTATATAATTATTACAATATTTTTTTAGGGGTTATAAAATTATAAAAATAATATTTTGCTTATCGTGTATCGTGTTTACCCACGTGTATACCCGACCCGACCCGTTATCTTAACAGGTGCTTATCGGGTTACCCGATAAGACCCGATTCGTTATCGTGTCGACCCAAACACCTGTTAATTTCGTGTCGTGTCGTGTCGGGTTATCGGGTCGTGTCAGAAATTGCCAGGCCTAGCGTGACCCCATCTATTTCTTCTGAATCAATACAATACAGGGAAGACAGGAGAGAGGGTTTGATTTATGAGGTGGGGAGGGAAGGATTTTTTTTTTTTTTAATAAACAAACGGTATTATCTACACTAAAAGGGTGGAGGAGTAGGTTAAACCTCACAATGTGCTAGTAATAATGTGGTTCAAATTCGAATTTGACGAGAATCAATCATAAGACTTCTCACTTATAAGTGAAAATGAATACTATTAGACCGTAGTACTGAGTGGTCAGTGAGAAGAGAAGGATTTGACCAAGACGGTTTGAGTAAAAAGCTGTTGTTGGGCCCAGCAAATGGGCTGGCTATTAGGCCAAAATTGGCTAGCCTGATACTCTTTTGGCTATATTTTGATTTGATGAGCTTTGTTGATTTTTAATCCAGTTTTTAGTTGGGGTTGAGTTTTGTTGAAATTAGGCTATTTTCTAGCTTTTTTGGCCCTTCCCTCTTCGTGGCTTTAAAGCATCTTTAACAATCTATTTCTTTTACTTTAAAAAAAATGTATAAAAAAAATAGTTTATGAATGCTAGTTAAATGACTAGCTATCTTAAACTTATGAAAAAATAACTAGCTAAATTTAGTTAGAGAAGAAAGAGACGGTTAAATTATTGCACAAGGTTAAAACTATGAAATTGCATTGTTTGTGGGCTGCAAGAAACAATATTTTTGCTCACCATCCTCAATTGATGATAATACTCATCATTATATTTATCACCGTTGGATGAGTTTAAATTTTGAGATCTGTTTAGTGGACATATATAAATCTCAAAATTTAAACTCATGTAATGATAATAAGTAGAGTGGTGAACACTACAACCACTTGAGGGTGATAAGCAAAAATACACTCGCTTCAGGAGAAGAAAAAAAAAGGGGTTAGTAAGTTTAGGAAGACATAATATTGAAACATTTTAACTTAAGCTAAAATAGTTAGTATTGTTGGACAAGCCAAATTAACATCTGAGTCATTTGGCTAGCTTTAGTAACAAAAATTAGTTCGTATTACTAGAGATGTTCCAAAACCACATGTAAAGTGCTTTTTTTTTTTTTAATATATATATATATATATATATATATATATATATATCACTAAAAGCGTTTTTTATTATGTTTGGCAAATAAAGTTGACAATGATTCTTTGTTCAAAAAATATGTAAGTGCTTTTTGAACAAAGCACCTATGTGCTTGTATCATGAAGCACTTCAAGTACTTATTTCAATAACTTCTTTCATCTTTATAAAAACTTAATGTGCTTTTCATAGAAGTACGTCAAATTTTTTATTAAAAATTTATATGGCTCGGGGAATAAACTCACATTGTGCAATACTTGGTTTAATATGTGAGAGTATACATATTGAAACATAAATCGCCTAATTGAAACACAAATTACCTAATTAAAGGTTGAAATTAATAGCCTAACAATACAACCATTTATTTTGAAGATTGAAATCACATAACTAAGGATCAAGCACCAATGGACCGACAAGCCCCTATTAAAATCAATTAACACTATTTCATTGCTTGTATTTTAGGTTTGACTTTGAATTTGAAAGTAATTGTGCACTTCAAATTAGTTATTTTTGTAAAAGTGATAAAAATATTTTTGAGTTTTAGCAGCACTTAAGTACTTTTACGTTAAGTGTTTTTCTAGAATTAACTTGTATTATTATTAAGGATTTGTTTGATAAATATTTTTTATAAAAACTGTTTCAGTCATTTAAAAACATTTCCTAAACGAACCTCTTTTAGTCATTTAAAAACATTTCCTAAACGAACCCCTAAACTCATAAAAGTAGTTAGGAAGTAAAATTACAACGTGTATGCCAATTGACATTCAACATTGATAAATTGTATCATACTCATCTATTCATGTAATAAAAAATTTATCAATCAATCAAACTATAATAAATTTTTTTTGTGTATGTAATGTTGGGTTTGCCAATATTTTCCTATATAAACTACAATCTACTTTAATTAATATTTTTTTTAAAAAAATTAATCAACAACTCGAATCACTTATGTTGACCAAGACAAACCTACAAACTTCCTTGCCATTTTTACAGACAAACCCTTTTTTTTTTTTTTTTCCTTAAAAACAGACAACAAAATTCTTTTCTTCGTCTTTCAGTCTCCACTTTCCCACGATAATATCTTTTTCTCTCTCTGAAATTTCAAAGTCGTCGCCCGTTTCTTCGCCCGTACCGAAACGCGCATCCCATTGGACGGGAGATCGCATCGCAGCTCAAAACGTCTTTAATTGCACGCACTCCCGTTTTCATTTCCGGCGTTTCGATCCTGCAAAACAATTTGAACGTCGTTTCGTTGGTTGCAGATCGAAGAAAGACGTTTTCTTTGTCTCGCTGCGACCTCCATGCTGTGCCTCTGAATCGGAGGGTCAGTGTTTGTTTGCTGCCATGGCCAGGGTCAGATCGTCGTCGTCGAGCAGATTGAGGTACTGCAACCCGGCGTATTATTTGAAGCGGCCGCAACGCCTGGCTTTGCTCTTCATAGCATTCGTTTGCATCTCTCTGGTTGTCTGGGACCGCCAGACTCTCCTCAAAGAGCACGAGGTTGGTCTCCCTGTCGGTTATTTTACTTTCTTTGATTTGGGTTTTTGAGTGTTGTATGCTCTGTTTGGTTGCTGAGAAAGTCTGGGAAAATGGGGGTGTAAATTTGAAGTATGGATTAGCGGTTTCCATTTTAGGGTCTTTACGTGTGGCTGAAAAAAATGGTTTGATCGCGTTAGAGGGGAATTTGAAGTTCAGTAACTGCTATTGACAAAATGTTTAACGTGTTTGTTTGCCTTCAATGTCCTGTTTGTTTCGAAAAGATTTTGAATTTCGGACGAAGTGTTAAATTCTTTGACAAAATGTTTAATGTGTTTGTTTACCTTCAATGTCCTGTTTGTTTCGAAAAGATTTCGGACAAAGTGTTAAATTGTGCATGTGGAAAACGGTGGTTTGATAGTTAAAACCATGAATATGAGAGGAGGAGCATCTGGTCTAATGGAATATATCATAAAATGTTATGGATGGCAGAAGCCTTTTATATTTAAAGGACAATCCCAGCCCGGGTTATATGGAAATGGAAAAGTGATGTATAAATTTCTCATTTGATGTTACGTTCAGGAGTAACTAGGTTCCCCAGATGCAAGAGTTTCACTTTTTGCATTATAAATTGAACCGAGTTTCACTTTTTATTTTTTTTATTTTCCGCATCTAATGATGTTATGTACGAATTGCAGGAAGAAGTGGCCAAGTTAAATGAACAACTGAACCATTTGAAAAGTTTGGTAAGCGTCTTATGCCTTGGTTTATGTTCAAGCTTGAGCTTCTTATTTGGCCTTCAGTCACTATCTTTTCATTCATTTATTTGGGGTGGGGCGGTGCTGTTGCTGCCATAGCTATCAATCCCAAAAGTTTTCAATTATAACACTTAGATTAATAGAGCTTTAAGCTCTCCTTATTCTGCCTCAACTGTTCTTTGAAATTGAATGAGTTATGTTCTCTATGGTTATTTGCAATCTGATTTGATTATATATTTGTGCCTGGATATGAACAATTATGTCTCAGAATACCCTAAAGCAATATTTTAATCCATTTTAAAAGGTAGATATGTGTCATGTGTCATTGTATATTGTACACTCAGGTTGAAGACTCACAAAATGTGCAAGGTGATGCCACTAAAAAGAATACATTGAAGGACAGGGATGGTGAGAAAGAGGTTGGCCTGGACCCAATTGACATTCAAAGAAGAGAAAAAGTCAAAGAAGCTATGATTCACGCGTGGAGTTCATATGAGAAGTATGCATGGGGCCAAGATGAACTTCAGGTATAATGATCCTTTCTGTTTACCATTGTCTATTTCATTTTTAAATGTTATTTCTACACTATTTAAGTTTTACTTTAAAGACGTAGCAGTTCACACTGTATTATGGCCTTTTTCTACCCACGTGTTCATTTTGTGCTTTGTGATGAATTCAATTTACAAGGTTTTAGTATTCTTTTGGTGTATCTTTAGTTGATCATTGGTATAGCTTGCTGAAGTTGTGACTTTGTCAAGGTTTTTAAGCTTTTGTCTAACTTTCAGATCTGCATCTGACATTTTGCTCAATAAAATTAGTTTAGGTGTTCATGTCTCTATTCTGATAAACTACATTTCTGTGTCTGTGCTCACTAAAGAATCTAGGAGCGTTAAAGTTGTCTGGGCTCAGTGACAGTTCTATTTGTAACAACCACAAACTTGATAGTATTTTTTGACTTTCCTTGTTATTGGTAATGTTATTATTTTTTTACAAATTTCTAACACCAAAGCTGTTTTGCATGTACCAGCCGCAATCAAAGAATGGTGTCAATAGCTTTGGTGGTCTTGGAGCAACACTAGTAGACTCTCTTGATACGTTGTATATAATGGGGCTTCATGAGCAGTTCCAAAAAGCTAGAGAGTGAGTTGAAGTTTCGATTTTCATATTCTTTGGTAGCATACTCAGTGGACCAAATTAATCTTTGGCTACTTGGCCCTATGTAGGAGCTAGAGAGTGTAGTAACTACCATGTCCTATGTAGGGCCTTTGTTCTATGTATGTCATTTTAGCTTCTTGTCCTTTTGCTCCTTCAACGTGAACCAATTAATCTTTGCAACAGTGCTTTGACAGATTTTCATTGCACTGTGTAAACTATCTTAGATGACCTTTTCTTTTGTTTATGCTTGCTTGTATATTGCAAAAGAAAAAGGGAAAATATTCCTCATTTCGTACGATCCCTCATATTTACTCATCTCTATTATTTGTTATTCTCCTCCTCTTTTACTCTGTTGTATTCTTGTATCTTGATGTCCTCAACCCTAGGGCGCACTAAAGTATTGTGTATTCTTGTTTATCCCTCTTCTATGACTTTCATTATTCATTTATTTTCCCATTTTCTTGCCTTGACATCTTTGTTTGTTCTTTTTGCCCAAACCTCATTCTACAACGTTACATGTTACATCTTGGTAATAAATGTATATAATTTATATGTTATTCTTGGCAGGTGGGTTGCAACCTCATTGGATTTTGACAAGGATTATGAGGCTAGTGTTTTTGAGACAACCATAAGGTTGCATTATAAGGTTTAATATATGGTTGATTTTAATTATTTTCTCCACCTGGGCTTGCACTTTATTTTCCTCATCTGACAGCAGAATTTCTGATGTATCGTGTCTATTGTTTTTCTGAAATTTCCAGAGTTGTAGGTGGACTTCTCAGTGCATATGATCTCTCAGAAGATAAACTTTTCCTTGATAAGGCTAGAGAGATTGCAGACAGATTGCTGCCTGCATGGGATACACCTAGTGGGATACCGTACAACATTATCAACTTGGCATATGGAAAGCCGCACAATCCTTCATGGACTGGAGTAAGTGGTGAAAAAGAGCTACCATTTTCAGATAGTCTCTTGTTATGATATAGTTTATTCACTAATAGTGTTGCATGTGTAGATCTCTTTCATGATTTATCTGAAACATTTGAATATTTACAATTAGTGTTTTAAAATTTCATTCGATAAATTTTTGATATTTTAGTTCATCATGTCTTTAGGGTGAAAGTATCTTGGCAGATTCTGGCACAGAACAGGTGGAGTTTATTGCTCTTTCTCAGAGGACAGGAGACCCGAAGTACCAGCAGAAGGTATATATACTATCATATTTACTAGGTTTTGTTTTTCTTTCCCTGGTCAAATAGCCTATTGCAGCACGTTAACGCAACCCTGAAGTTAGCCATAGTATGAATTGTTGCGCATATTAACATGTATACAAGAGATAGATCAGTGACTGTCATTTCATTGGTGTGAAAAACTAATTGCTTGTGATTCCTAGGCTGAGAATGTTATAGTGGCGCTTAACAAAACTTTCCCTGATGATGGGTTGCTTCCTATTTATATTGATCCCGAAAGAGGAAGATCAGGATATTCCACTATAACCTTCGGTGCAATGGGTGACAGGTAAGCATTAATTTTTAATATGAATTATGTAATTTTCGAGATTCAGGTTTCATTAGGTATACTTGTTGTGAGTGGCTTAAAACAATGTTGGGATTAACTTTAGGCAATTGTTTGCAGCTTCTATGAATATTTACTCAAAGTCTGGATACTGGGGAACAAAACTTCAGCTGTAAAGCCTTATAGGTCAGAAGTTTGTCTTTGTCTTTTGATGATTATAACCACTTTTCCACAGAATGTTCTGTTTGGTTTCAAAAGCTATGGGAATCATATCTACTTGAAAGACCCAATTTGCCATAGAGCTTAGCAATAGAAATACCAAAAAGGCATCACGTGGCTTTGGCTCTGGTACCATGACCTGTATTCTTTAAGGGCAAAAAGTCCTGTACGGGGCTCAAAAAGTCTCGTGGTTCTTCAATTTTAATTTATAATTGAACCTTTTCTTTTCTAAAAATCTTGTTTTTGAAGTGGATATGTGGTCATGGTCTTTAAGTTTGTCTTGATGTCAAAATTCTTATGGAATTTTGGAAGCAGAGATATGTGGGAGAAATCAATGAAAGGTCTGTTGAGCTTGATCCGGAGAACAACACCATCCTCGTTTGCATATTTATGTGAGAAGAATGGAAACACTATGACAAACAAGGTAAATTATTGATTGCAGTTGCAGTATCATTAAATGCCATGTCGATAATTACTTTGTTACATTTTAAGTAGCATTTCCTTACAAATGCAGATGGACGAACTAGCATGCTTTGCTCCAGGAATGCTGGCTTTAGGGTCATCTGGTTATAGTCCTGATGAATCTAAGCAATTCTTATCACTTGCAGAAGAGGTATTACTTCCGTGAAAGATTTGAGTTTCACCTTTGGAATTTTACGGCCTATTTTAAACGCATATTCCATGTCAGTTGGACAAGCTCTATTGAGTGAGATAGTATGTGTGTGTTATTCTGCACACAACTTTTTACTTATTAGCAAAAAGTTACAAATAAAGCTTGTAAAATTGTTTTACCCTTTGAACCTTTGACTGATTCTGCAAGCCTATTTTCAGCTTGCTTGGACATGCTATAACTTCTACCAGTCAACACCGACAAAGTTAGCTGGAGAGAATTATTTCTTTCATGATGGGCAGGTTAGTTATCCTGATTTTCGTTTAGACTGAAATATAGTTAATATTTGCTCAGAGGTTGGTCTATGTTTGAAATTTCCAGGACTTGAGCGTGGGTACGTCATGGAATATATTGAGACCAGAGACAGTTGAATCACTTTTTTACCTCTGGCGTTTGACTGGCAACAAGACATACCAAGAGTGGGGCTGGAATATATTTCAGGCATTTGAAAAGAACTCCCGCATAGAGTCAGGATATGTTGGACTGAAAGACGTATGCACTTCTTAAACCCATAAACCCATAACTACACTGCATCTGCTTTCGAGTTCCTTCTACGTACCTTTTATTCATGGTCTCTTGGAGTGCAACTTTTTCTATTGTATTTCATTCCTTGAATCTCATGAATATGTGAACTAATCAAAGCTACTTGCTCTTCAGTATACTGAAGTTTGGAGCAGGTGAAATAAATTGTCTTTTACTGATTTTGCGGCTTTTCATTTATGCCGGTTGTTGGTCGTTTCAGGTTAACACTGGTGACAAAGACAACATGATGCAAAGCTTCTTTCTTGCGGAGACACTCAAATATCTCTATCTTCTATTTTCGCCCTCCTCTGTCATCTCCCTAGACGAATGGGTTTTCAACACGGAAGCTCACCCAATAAAAATTATGGCCAGGCATGATGCAGACACATCTGGAAAAGCAAATGGGAACGATAGACCAAAGATTAGATTGCGCGGGAGGAAGGAAGGTCGATCACGAGATTAATAGGTTTTCTATAATCCTAGTGTAATTCTAGGGTCCAAGTAGGTGAAGGGGCCAAGATAGTAAGATACATTAGTCTGTTGAGATTTGATGTCCGCTTTTGTACAAGGAGGAAATGATTCGGCTCTACAAATTACGCCTGGTGGTGGAAGTTGTATTCTATGGTAACATATGTATGCTCTTATGTCACCCTCACAGGAAAAAATGGATATTCCTAGCTCTTATTACCCATTTGGGAATATGGATCAACATTTGTAATTTCATGGAGGAATGTTTTGAATTGAATTTCCCCCTCCATTTGATTTTTGACATTTCAATGGCACTTATTTGATTATTTCCAGATCATGTCTCTCTTTATCTCTCTCTCTCACATGGGGGCATTGGGCTTTACTTGGAAATGTGGTGGTATGTTTATGATTTGAATATGTCTGTAATCTTAGACTTTTTGTTTTTGACAGACGATAAATAGTCTTGCATTAAATTACGGAAAGGGGGTACACGAGGAGTCTTTCTACTACTTTTCCTTAGTTTTGTAAAATGTCACATCAAATGCCACCTGATATAGAAATATGGTATAAAAATATGATATAAATAACATTACTCTTACAGAATACCTCATTCCAGTTCAATGTGCATGCAAGGCCATGAAGCTTAAAGACCTCTCCTACATTCATAGCCCACACGTCCTGCAGATTCTCAACGTCTGCAGAAGGGATGGAAATCAAATTGTTTTTTTTATCTTTCACTTGTGTATTTATATAAATGAAGACATCATCTTTGTGTGTGTGTGTGTGTACACACACACACATATAAACACATCAGATGCGCAGCTTCAGAGATTGAAGAACGCACCCCAGAGAGCTTCTTTATGGAAACAGATAGTGGACTTTCTCATACGTTTTTCAAGCAGATTGTATAGGTCCTTGTCATTGTATAGGTCCACTGCAGTTTCTTCGTTACCTGCTGCTCATGGTCTCCATTCTAAACCCTAATTAAATGGGGGGCACTCAGACGATCGAGTAATTTATACCCACAAGCAGATGCCGAAGCAGGGGGAGGCGGGCCGGGCCACGAACGATGACAAGCCGGTCCATTTGCAATTTCCAAGGTATTCCATTCTTCCTTTCAGAACCTTCTTCTTTCCCCTCTTCTGTAATATGTTTTGCTTATATCGATTGGTTATTGTGTGGTTGGTAAGATGGAAACACAAAGTGAGACTCAAAGGTAAATGGGAAAAAAATGGTAAATGAGTTAAAAAACGGATAAATAGGTATGTGGTTATAGTTAAATGAGCACGGTTAACTATTTATAAGCGAGTATGAGTATAAGTATAACAATTTATGCAATTACTCAAGCGGTAAACAATTATACGGGTAAAAGGTTAAATAATTAGAAGTAAATAATCATGCTTTCTCGTCTGCTATAACTGTTAGCCCATCTCTACTTATCATTCGATAAAAAACTACCAAAATATAGGGGACACTGGAACTTGCACAATGTTCTAAATAGGTAAAAGTTAGAGAGATAACATTTACTAATGACATGATTGAAGCAGGTGTAAAATATCACACTGTAATTATAGTACAAGGGGATGACAAATAAAAGAAGGAGGAATAGATACTGATGTTATTGATCTTTCTTTTTTTCTTTGTGTATTTTGATAGCAGTTGGAGCGCTCTATTTATAGAGCAACTCCAAACATATTAATTACACCCTTTGAAAGATACGATCTCCTTCATTTCCAAAGTCTACATTACTATGTGTGAGTATTGAAAAATCTATGTGGGCATTCATTAATCTGCCAACATTTTCAACACTGCCAATGTTTTCAATACTGCCAATGTTTTCAACACACAAGCCCTTCTCATTTTTTTTTCTTCTAAATTTAATACAATCAAAATGAGATAAAGATGTGAGTAAATACAACGTCGAGATCTCATAGTACCAGCCCATTTTCAATAGCTTTTTTGGACAAATAATAATGTTAGTGGATTAACTTGAGATTCGATTGAGAGTGATTACAAGTCTCAAGTCTCAACAATGACTCTTGTTGCCACTAGAATTACAGCGCAATAATAATTTTTTTGCTTATAAGTGAATTTTTTATGTAATAAAGTATTAACAAAAAGCATAACTATTGGTACATAATAAGGGTGCAAGTTGAAATGGAAATCGAGTGCATTTAGGGATTTCGAATTTTGAGCCAAAATTATGAATTATGCACTCTATGTTTGTATTTTATTATTAGTCTTAGATGTATTTATAAATTAAAAACTTTATAAAATATATGAACTTACGAATTATGTTCTGAATTTTCGAGATAACTTGAATTCCAAAAATTTTAAGTTTAAAAATCAAGTCTAATTCTAACGTTTTGAAATCCAAAATTTTAAAATCTTCTCCTTTCAAAAATCACCCATAATCTTAAATATTTAGGTTTTAATATATGTATGTGTGTGTATTTTAACTAATGATATTATCTATACTAATAAGGAGGGAAATGCGTAGCCAATGAGCTATCAATAATGTGGTTTAAATTCGTATTTGCCGATAATTGAACTTAACCTTTCACTTACAAGTGAAGAAAAATATTACTAGACCGTAATATTAAATGATGGTTTTAATATATTTATAGGTCAAGTAATTTAATTTGAAATAGGTTAGTTTTATTTCCTTTATTTGGGAAATAGATTATTTTCTAATTCCCTCTATTAATCTCTACTAATTAATAAAACACTCATTGTCAACCAAAATCATATGAAATTACCAGTTTAACCTTCTAATTAAAATAAAACATGAATAAGAAATATGGGACAGAAATGTAATTTCACACAATCAAATTTTGCTGTGTTTTTTTCAAAGCCTCACCTGCATGTAATCATAACATATCTCTAATTAAAAAATAAAAAATAAAAAAACTTCTCATTCCCACATTCTCTTCCTCTCTCCTTCTCTTTCAAAAACAAAAATAAACATATGCTAGTTATTATATAAACAAACAGGTTATTTTCACAAACCAAAAACAACGAGAAAAAAAAAAAAAAAAACCAAATAAACAAACAATCAAAACCCTAAATCATATGGATTGAGGGCCAAACTTCAATCCTCCCAAACACTTCAATCAGCACGGTCCCCTCCGAGCATCGCCATCTCACCGTTGATCACAAAAAAGTTCTCCCAGAAATCCAACGGCCACGCATCTTCGTCCTTCATCATCTCCACCCAAATTTCAAGTTTCCCCTCCTCTGTTCTTTCTACTGTACATCGTTCTTCTCAATCAGCAAAAGGTAACCAGAATTAGATGTTCCTGTCTCGGATTCCGCTATTCCGGTCCTGAATTATCTTCTCCTCGAACGGTAATTTCAACGATCCAAAATTTTCAGTATTTTCTTCCATTTTTTTTTGTTGAAATTTGAGTAAAAAATATGGAAAACGAGCTCAATTACTTACTTCAGCTAAGAAAATCACTCGCACACATACATGCAAGTATATTAGCACCATTCTGTGAAGATTTCTGATATTTTTCTTAAATTTTCCTGCATTTTCTAGGCAATTAAACACATGAATGCTACCATCAGCTAACTACACTAACGGTAATGTGATTTTCCTGCATTTTTTTTCAGTTTTCCTGCATTTTATGATGCGTAGATAGTATAGAGGTGCAAGTACGAAGTCGAATTCCGTAGGGACGGTGATTTAAGTCAGAAAACTAACCTTAATCAACGAGTGAAATTGAAAATATTAACAAACAAGAAAGTTAAAGGAAAAATTGGTTGTGAAAAGTAACACTCAAAAATATAGGTACTGGAAATTAAAGAAAATAATTAGACAAGTAATAATAAAATTTAAAGAACAAACAATGACGTTAAAGGCTAAGGCATACATTTTCACCGGTCTTAGCCTTCAAGTTTCCATTTAACAATTCCTATGATGATGGTTAAGTTTCTCAACTCTATAATCTAAACATGGTGTATGCATCAAATTATATACTTCTAAGAAGCAACTGAGCATGGTGTATGCCTATATTAAACAGCTTGAAACTCCTTAAGTACGATGGAAACTTTTAGGCAACCACACAAAACCCGGAACATGGTGCATGTTTTTAGTAAGTTGTAATCTCAATTTCATAATCATGGCAAGAACATAACACGGGTATATGGTTCTAGAAGTCATTAAAATGATCATAATTCATCGTAGGGATATCAGATTGACATGATTCCAGCGCAATTGAAAAGAAGACTTACTTAGCTTTCCAGCCATATGTGGTATGTGATCTGGTTCCTTTGGATGAATAAATGGCATCCCACTGAAGTTGCTGGACAGAAACTCCCACATTCCAGATTTTCCAAATTTTGTTTCACCTCCGGGTTTTAGGCCTTGCTTTGATATCTAGGGATCTTCCTTTGAATGTTCACGGACTGTCTTTAATCTCTCAAAACTCCACTTGGCTCGAAATTCTTTTCTTTGCATTTTGTCCTACAAAATAAGAAAACCACAAATAAACTACTACTAAAGGATGAAACTATAGATAATCCAAGTGATAAGGTGATAAAAACATGTATAAATATGAGCCTATCAGGATACTAATTCATTTGATTTTGAATTGATAGACTTTCTGGCATTTTTCGCGACGTGAAGAAAAACATAGAATTTAGACAAGCTTGTTGAAACAAGTAGTGATCTTGGAACAGTGGTGGTGGTAATTTTGGAGTGAAGAATGGATAACATCAGTGGCGGCGATGCGCCAATGCATATGAGTGATGAAGTGCATTTGCAATACATGCAAGAACATGAGCATCATCAGGGGTTGCATCAGATGAGCAATGGGAATGGGGTGGCTGATGATCATGATGATGGAAGTGGTGCTGATACTGGTGGTGCTGAGCTTTCCGAAGTTCATGTACAGTCTGAGCCCGTGAATCTCTCTGATACGCGTAGTGGGATGGTGGACCATAGCAGCAATAATGGGGACCAGCTCACATTGTCATTTCAGGGTCAGGTTTTTGTGTTTGACTCTGTGTCACCCGAGAAGGTGATTTGATTGATTCTCTCGAAGTTTTATGCTCAATTTGTTATTGTTTTCTCTACATTATAGTTTGTGTTTAAAGCATTGATTAGTAATGGTTATGCGCAAATGAATAAGTTAAAGTTATTTGGTTTGATGCACATTTCTGACCTCTTTTGATTGTATAATAGTGTGCGCACATGAATACGAGGTATTAAATGACTTGCTGAAATATTTGATTTAGCATGGGTGCACAGATGGTAAGATGGGAGCCTTTTGGCGGACATGGCCATACATAATAAATGAAGTCTTACTAGTTTTCTATGTAAAACCAGATTGTTCACTGAATGGACACTTATAAAGTATGGTATCATAAACTTAAATGGACTTATGTTGATACACAAGTTCAGCCAGCTATCTACTTTTAGGAGTGCCGTGTTTTTTACTTTCTGGTACATGTTTCAGGATTTTGCATATGGAAATCTGCAATCTTTTGAATATTCATTTAGTAACTTGAAATATATTATTTGTTTCGTTGTGGCTAAGAAAAAGCTTTTGAGTTGTTTTGAACTACCTTCCTCAGGTTCAAGCTGTGTTGCTACTATTGGGGGGCCATGAAGTACCTCCAGGCATGCCTGCCGTTCCAGTAACCACCCAGCATGATAATAGGGTATTTGTACTTATCTAAAGTGGTTTCTTGAAAGCCGTTTGTTCTTGAAAGCCATTTGTGTTTTAGTATCTTGCTAATAAAAAATTCAACCAGGCCCTTACTAGTATTCCACAACGGTTGAGTGTCCCTCAAAGACTGGCTTCACTTATTAGATTCCGTGAAAAACGAAAAGAAAGAAATTTCGACAAGAAGATTCGTTATACTGTTCGCAAAGAGGTGGCACTTAGGTAGGGCATCTGTGTTTTAATATTCATTGAATTATGCTGAAAACTAGCTCAAATTTTGCAGAATTCTTGTTCTTTGCTGTACTTTATGGCTTCGATCTAATATCATTGGTGGAAAACTGTTAAATGGTTCCAATTATGTATAGATTCAAATACTTAAAGCGGTTTGCAAACCAATAGCTATTGCATACTAAATGGCCTAAATACTACTAGAGATGCTAGGGTGTTGATTATGAACAGTAATTCCACGGACTTAATGTAACTTAAATTTAGACAACAATATGTAACAACTAATAAGGCAGTTCCTCAATGTTAGTTTGTAAATTTGTGAATTTAAGCAGTACATGTGGCATCTAATGATGTATATTACATGTGTAAATTGAAAGTTTTAAAGTTAAATAGTTTCTTTATTGTTCTTTTTCCCTTCTTTTGTTGCCATGTTTTCACTCTGTTTGTTGTTTACTCATTTCTGAATGGTTGTCATTAATGAATGAATTATGATGCTACAAAAAATTTTGGTGCTCTTAATGATTACCATTGTTGTGACTGTTCTAGGATGCAACGAAAGAAAGGTCAATTTACATCTTCTAAGCCCAACAGTGATGATTCTGCATCAGCTATCACAAGTTGGGGCTCAAATGAGAACTTGGATCAGGATGCTAATGGATCCATTCCTCAAGAGGCTGTGTAAGTCAACATGTTTTATTCAAATTTCTTAATGTCTGCATTGTTAGATTTAAATTGGGAAAGGATATAGATGTAACATATTGAGCTTGCGGAAACCTGCTGAAGTGCACTTATTATGATATGCTAGCGGGCCCAAATAGTCTTGAAGAGCTCTTAGATGCATATGCATCACCAGTAAGCATGCAGTGAAAAGTGCATACTGTTGTTTTCAATGTTATGAGCTCTACTGGCTGAAGAGCATTTACGCCTCCATCCGAGGACCCGAGTTTGAATTTCCCCTCCCCAAATAATGTTTCATGAAAAACTACATAGCATTTTGGATCGTTGTTGTTAAAAAACACATTAAAAACTATTTGAACTCATTTTTTGTACTGCGGATTTATTGCCAGCTGTCTACACTGTGGCACCAATGAGAAGTGTACACCAATGATGCGACGTGGACCCGATGGACCAAGAACCCTTTGCAATGCATGTGGACTTATGTGGGCAAACAAGGTAACTACCAGAGACTTGTTTATTCGCCATATGTTGATGTTGATTTATGTATTTATTTAATAATGGTGCTTGGTAGCATATTGCATATTACAGTCCTCATGGTAATTGAGAAGATACTAAGATTCAGTTCCATACGCCCAATATGCAATTGCATTTACGGACAACACACGGTTTTTGTTTGTATTACTTTCTCAGTGGGAGGGGAGGGAGGTTTTTTGGGGTGTATAGGCTCATGATGGGGATGATTTCTGGAATGGATAAGCTGGGTTTCTTTGGATTATATAGTCCTGGGTGGTGTGTACTTTATTTTTAACAAGTTGAGTTTTGGTTTTGAACAATTGAACGAGTAGAATGAATGACTAGGAGTATGAAGGATTTTGATAGGTTTAGGGAAACAAAAGCTAAGAAACTGCAAACTGCTCGGTTAACTTGATCTAATTTAGGGATAGATTGGTGTGTGCTCTAAAATGGATAGATTTCATTTCTCACCAAATTGGGAGGAGGAAACTAGAATGTCAGAGATTTTAGAGAAGAAGCCAGTTTACAGCTTTGTCAAACTGTTGTTCTATAACTTGGTTAGTAATCTTTTTAGGTGTAGTCTTTACCCTGTACGATTTAGAATACACGGTCTCATCATATAGGTCCTTAAACAATGATTTTAAGGCAGTGGTGGAAGGGGTGAACAAGAAGTTAAAAAGTGTGAAACATGGAAATTTTGGGTGATCTGAGAGTGATTAAAAGTCCAATATTGAAACGTGTTGAGGAAGGAAAGAACTGAGTTGTTAAGTTGTTTCAAGGAGGTGGTTGTAAAAGGAAGAAATTTATTTGGGGTTTAGTGTACCAGTGTTTCCGGATGTATTTTGTTGATGAAATTAAATAAACAGTTCCACGTAAGAAAATATGTAATGTATCTGTGAGCCAAGTATTCTGTCAACATTTATACGGAGGCCTTTGTTACATTTAGCATTTTTTAACATGTACAAGGAAATATTATCTATTAATTGCACTTAAACTTCTACTGCTGTATTTAATTGAACTCGTTGTCGCCTCTATGAACCATAGGGAACTCTCAGGGACCTCTCCAAGGCAGCACCCCAAGCAGTACAAAACCCTTCCACGAGCAGGAATGAAGATGCCAAACCCGATTTATAAAACGTATGCTTTGTTCCTATGATGATTTTGAGATGTACACAATGGTATTTTATTCCACCATTCTTGATTTTTTTTTACTTCTCTTCTGCTTTTGCTTGTCTTACAGAATTGAAATTTGGAGGCCAACGGGGTTCTTAGAATCCCGGAAAGGTAAACGGCAGTGAGAGTCCATCAAAAAGCGGAGCCTTGTGTTCGAAGTAAGTATGGAAGTTCTCATTTAATCTTCCTTTAGATGTGTTGAGTCTGTCTCGCGGCACTGCACGATGTGCCCATAGGATTTTCCTGAACGTAAATTAAACTATACGTTTTGACATCAGTCTCAATCTTCTTGCTCCTTGATGACATTGCTTGAACGAAGTAATTGTCTGTAAAACTGAACTTTTTATCTGATGATCAAACAGCTGTTTTAGTTAAATAAATTGGTTTCTTGACACACACACACAGACACACCCACGAGCTTATAGTTACTTCATATATTTATCATTCCTTGGAGAATTATTGTAGCACAATCACATGGTATTATTAATCAACTCATGTTTATGACACATGAATTTATCGATACAAGGCTTAGGTCCATGAGTTCATGACATTTCAACTATGTCGTTCATTCATATCATAATATGTAAATTAATTATTAGCGCTGCCAGGAAGTAGATTAGCAACACCCAGTAACACCCTTTTGAGAATAATTGCACCTTGGTTTGCCGTATACTTACATTCTTTGTAATTTTGAATATTTTGGAAATTCCTCTACTTAGAGAAATTTATCCAAACACTTGGAACACATTACTTCATGTGTAAAGATATATATATTATCTTCACTTATATTATAACACATAGTATATTTACTTAGAGTTCTGAATACTTATAAAAATGTCTCATTTACTTGGTGTGTTAGTTGTCACACTTGTTAGACCATCTTCAACATTTGGATTAAAACTTAAAAAGTTTTACCTCGGAAAATTTAGGTTTTAACCTATAAACAGTTTTTCTCATTCAATTCTTATGCGTTAAATTTTTAATCCGAGATTATTAAAGAATGAATTTAGAATAATTTTTTTTAAAAGTAATTTTAAAAAAATATTATGTACACCATCCAAATTTAATTCTATGAACATTTTAGCCTAAAAATATTTAGATTGTAATTATTGAAAAATTATTAAATCGACCCTATGAAACTCATAGAATACTATGAAAGAATATGAACACATGAAAAGATTTTTTTTTTTAAATTATTTTAGCTGTTGTTAAATTTGAACCAAGAATTAGAGCAAGTTATGGTAGGTTTAGAACTTAAAATCTGAGTTTTATTTTAAAGGTTAGAGTAGGTCTTAGTAAGGTAAAAGTTTTAAAATTAACTCTTTGGACAAATGGGTCAGAAAAGGTTTTCAGTTCTAGGATCCTGGGGATCCATAAATTGTGTCCGTTCATCATATATTGTGCGATCATTTTTTGTTAGATACTATTTGTGTCACATCCCGGCCCGGGTGGGACCACTTCCTGGGCCTGCTCTACCACCGTAGCACGATATTGTCCGCTTTGGGCCCCGACCAAGTCCTCACGGTTTTGTTTCTGGGAACTCACACGAGAACTTCCCGATGGGTCACCCATCATGGAAATGCTCTCGCGCACTACTCGCTTAACTTCGAAGTTCTTATGAAACCCGAAGCCAGTGAGCTCCCAAAAGGCCTCGTGCTAGGTAGGATGGGAATATACATTTAAGGATCAGTCCCCTAGGCGATGTGGGATGTCACAATCCACCCCCCTTAGGGGCCCGACGTCCTCGTCGGCACATTTCCGGCCAGGGATAGGCTCTGATACCAATGTCACATCCCGGCCCGGGTGGGACCACTTTCCGGGCCCGCTCCACCACCGTAGCACGATATTGTCCGCTTTGGGCCCCGACCAAGCCCTCACGGTTTTGTTTCTGGGAACTCACACGAGAACTTCCCGATGGGTCACCCATCCTGGGAATGCTCTCGCGCGCTACTCGCTTAACTTCGGAGTTCTTATGAAACCCGAAGCCAGTGAGCTCCCAAAAGGCCTCGTGCTAGATAGGATGGGAATATACATTTAAGGATCAGTCCCCTAGGCGATGTGGGATTTCACAATATTAGACTCTGATACCAACTGACACACCCCGTCCCGAATGAGGGCATGTTGGCCGTCACGTGAGAGTGACGTAACCATTTACACAGTTCGGAAGCTTTAAAATATACAACTTCTAAGATGAACCACTTGAAGGTGAGTCCTCATTTGGTCCATTCTGTCAGAACACCATTGAATTTCCTCGTAGTCACCACACCTTTGCAATTCTTGAACCTGGAGGGGCGCAAAACCAAAATTGAGTGGGTCAGTAAAACAAATCTTTTCCAAATCCAAACACTTCTCAAAAACTTTGTAACCCCTCTCCGTAAAACTTGTATACTTTCCCAGAAAATAAACATATATAAGTATGTATAGATACGTCAATCAAGCTCAAGGTATGCCAATCCTACTCACAGGTATGCCAATCATACCCACAGGTATGCCAATCAAAGCCTCATAATGATATGCAAGTGCTCAGGTATAAACCATATCAATAACATGTTACTGGCAGCCGGAGTCACCTAAAGTGACCTGTATGGCTGAATCTAGAGCTCAAATCTCAATCTCAATAACTAAAAAACTGAACCTGCCCACGAGTCGGAACCACCTAAAGTGGTCTGTACGACAGGCCTGGGTGTGACGTATATATATACGCTCTAGTGCTACGATCACGTGAAGGTTGTGCGAATAATTGCGTGTCACCTACGAGTCGGAACCACCTAATGTGGTTTGTACGACAGGACTGTGCACCTAGCTTGGATCCAAGCTGAGCATGAGGTGCGGGAAGTGAACATCACGTGAAGGACTGTGCCCTGCTCAGGTCGGGAGCATTAACACCGGGGGTGCAGGTTATGAGCTCTCTAAGCATATATCAACATCATCATAACAACAATAAATACTCACCTGATACCCACCTGTGCGTCCACCGCACCAATTCATACATATATCAAATGTATTTCATACGTATATCAAATGTATATCAAATGTAGCTTACCTGGACCTTCTCAGCACCATGCAACAGTATGCATAATTATGGTAATGCACATATTAAAATATGATGCATATATGACAGGATATTTAATTCGTATTTCTTTTAAAATACGTTTTCTGGGAAATACGTCAAGCATACGTATATATATACTGAAAAATAACTGCCCACTCATAGATCACATCGACGTCTCGTAGGTCCCTAAGCCTCCCTTAGCCATGCCCGACGTCCGTACAAGCCTCGCCTATACGAGAAGTAACCAAATTGACGTTATTTAACGCACATACACAAACATTCGTCAATAACTTTCTCATACGTTGCTCAATTTGGGTATGTGAATATACCACGGTGATCTACACGACGTCACGAACACGTGACAATTTTTAGAACTCAATTTGGAGCTCTCACGCGCCCTCACGCGCCCCGTATACGCGCTGCCCACGCGCGCGTCTTCTTCCTCACGTCGCCGGACTAGTTTCGCCGGAGGTGAGTGTTTTGCCGGAATTTCTGGGTAAACTTCAAAGTGTCATAACTTCTTCATTTCTTAACCATTTTCGACGTTCTTTATATCAAAATGAAGATATTGACGAGACGAACACATCCATACCTGCCTTGACCCCTAACTCGGCGTGGATTCACCAGAAACAGCCCCGAAAGCTCCGGCCAAACTTACAGTTCGTGATCCCGACGTCCAATTCCTTCAAACGAAGCACTCCGAGCTTCTTAGGACCTCACCAAGCTTCCTACAAGCTTCAAAATCCCAAAAACATCAAGTTTTACGTGTGCATGAACAGTGCACACACACGGTGAAATTGAAATCCATGTTTTCCGAAGTGAAACTCACCTAAAATTGGTACCATCGTGTTCGTGTGGTCTTCAGGAGTACGATGGTGGTCTTAGATCATTCGTTGGTATAGTTTTAGGGTGGTTTTGTGGGTGGTCCGTGTGAGTTCGAAGGAGAGAGAGAGAACTGAGAGAGAATGAGAGATTTGTGAGGGAGGAGAGAGAGGGACAAGGTACGAGAAATGGGGAGAGATTTGAGGGATGTGGGGTCCTACCCAATCCCCAAATCATCAAGTTATAACATATAAACCTAGTTCTAAGTCTTAAATTTAAGTCCCTAAAACTAATGAATATTCCAATTAACATTAGTTTAGGAGCTTCAAGTAAAAACCAATGCCAACTTTACGCCCCTTAGTCCCGTTTAAGGGCATTTTCGTAACTTCACGTCCTTGGAATTAAAAATTCCGGGACGGGTTGTGACAATCTTCCCTCCTTATAGAATTTCATCCCCGAAATTCCAACAACCAACTAAATCATCTAAACTCATACAATAGCTTCGGATAAATCTCTCTCATCCGATTCTCCTTCTCCCACGTAATTTCTTCCGCTGAACGCTTTCTTCACAAATTCTTTACCAATTACACTGTCTTAATTCTCAATACATTCTTTTTCCAATCCAAAGTCGTCATTGGTTCCTTAACCAGTCTAATTCGGATTAATTCTCAATAGTTGCACCGGAACTCCATGTGACGAATCTGCCACCTAGTGACAACGCATCGAAATATAATACATTATGCACCTTAGCCAATTCTGAAGACATCACCACTTGTATGCAACTTCATCGATTCCTTTAGTGGTCAAAAACGGTCTTATGTGCTTAAGACTTATTTTGTCTCCTTTCCAAATCTCACTATTTCTTTTCGTGATGAAATTTCTAAAAATGTTGAATCATGAAACACATCATGCTCTTACAATAACTCTGGAAGTAATTCAAGCAACTTCACCTACTCTTCGATGATCACATAAAGTCCGATGTACTTAGGACTTAATTTGCTTTCCTTTCCAAGCCGAATCATACTTTTCTAAAGTGAAAACTTCAAAATTATAAGATCATCTACGTTAAACACTCGATTAGTGACATGTTCAACTATTAATCTCTTTTGCCATTCCTGGCTACTCTCAGGTTAAACTTAATCACCTGAATACTTTGAGAAGACTCATCCATAGTTTCAGGGCCTACCAAAACTCTTTCGTGATCGAATCTTCTTTATCCAGAAGCATTTCTTCCACAAATCAGCCAAAAATTGACACATTTCATGGTCCTTATGGCGTTACATCGGAAACTGCGCAACCAACATACTTAAGAAACTCAGCAGTTCCGTAACCCAAATCTCCTCTCCATAAAACATATAAGTACTGTTGCACTGTGGTTGTTACTCAACACTGGAGTAAATGTACTAACTTGGTACATTGATCAACTATCACTTCAAGTTCAATCATAACCATCCTATTCTTGAACTCAGCAATCTTTCTTTTTCCTTTCTTTCTTTGCCTTG